GTATCTCGGCCAAATATTGTCCTATCATAACAAACCATACATCAATGGAAAGTGTATTTATTCAGCTTCGAGATGGTGTATACATCTCAATTTCAAAAAATTGACCCTTATGACTGGTTTTGTGGTCCAGGGTCACATATATGAGATTGACTAACAAATAGCTGTATTCTGAGAGTCCCAAAGGCATAAGAAAAATTACACCAGTAGGAGTTTGCATCAAATTTCTTAGCTACACTTCTAAAAAAAGGTCCCAAAAGGCAGTTTTTGTGTAAAATGTGGTATTGAGGCACTCTCAAGAATCATGGGTATTAGTAATAATAATAAAAACACACAGTGGCTTTAACTGAAGCTGAAGCAGTTTTTGAAACTGCATAATAATTCTGAATGATACCAATCCACAATCTGACTTGTGATGCATCCTGGAATTAAATAATAAATTGTTTGGCCCCCTGATAGAAGATTTTTTTCTCCGTTTTGGTCACCAGTGGAGTTTGGGTTCCTTGCCATTGTCACCTCTGGCTTGCTCAGTTAGGGACACCTAATATTCGGTAATATTATTGAATTTACTGTACAGACACTATTGGATGAGAACTGAACTGAGCTGATTGATGGCACAACTGTTTTCTACAGGGTTGCTTTACAGCTGAATTGAACTCATCTCATAATTGATGATCTTTACACAGTTATTGAATGGAACTGAATCAACACTGAACTGACCTCAGCTGAACAATGACAATATTGTTTTCTTTTTTTATATATATAGCTGGTTTACCACAGAATTGATCTCTGTTTGCGTCACTGAATCATAATTTTCCTGTTTATCCCTTTAAAGCTGCTTTAAAACAACCTGTATTGTATAAAAGCCCTATAAATAAGGTGACTCGACTTGACTATAAAGACATTTCATGCAATGTGAAGCTTCCATGGATGTTAAATGTTCTTCAAGGAAAAACATATGCCAATAAAGAACCTTTATTTTTACCGTTTAATTTAAAAGCATAGTTCACCCAAAATTAAATTCTGTCATCATTTACTCACCTTCTTGTTGTTCCAAACCTCTATGATCTTGGAACACAAAAGATATTTTGAAACAAAATTGGACCCCACTGACTCATCTTTTATTGCTTTTTTTTTTATTAAACCCACATAAATGATTAAGATCAGTAAAACCAACCTTTATTAAGCTTTTCTAAACCTCTAAACCATTTTGCGGTAAATCATACAACAGCAGTCAATCAACCAAAAATTCACCATAATCCCCCTACAATGGTCAATTTTATTCAGGAAACTGAAAAGCATATGTAGTTTCAGATTACTCCACTTATACTACCAGCGATAACACAACAAACACTGAAGTTCCTGAGTGTTTATCCTCTGGACTGCACCTTGTCTCCTCTTTTCCATGTAGGCCTACAGCCAAATGTATTGAGGGACTTGGGGAGGGCAATCAAAAGGTGTTTTAATTTGAGTTTATTTCTGGCAGGGAACAAACTGAGGCCAATGACGGAGGGTGGGTAGAGGTGACCTCTCCTCCCCCTGGAGTGAGCTATTCATTTTGAAGCATAGCAGTGATCTAGGGCCGTTCCCAATGCCTTCCCTTGGCGTTCGAGAAAGGCCGGCAGGATCAACCGGCGATTAGCCACGCTGCCGTTTTTAATTTAAAGAAAATGACTTTGAGTTTTATTAACTGTTGTAGAGAACCTTGTGCAACAGAATTACAGAGGACAGCGAATAAACTTTTGTTCAAAACCTAATGGATTTTAAATAACGGTGCAGGTTGTTCGTGGTTCCCAGGCGAAGCTGGTATATGCTGCTGCCCATCTCCCGATTCAAGCACAACCTTGAATCTGGCTATATTGGCTGAGTTAAAGGTCTCTGAAGCAGAGAAAGTGTCATAGAGATCTGTAGCCACTCACTGCTATTTGATTATGCCACCCAGCAATAACAACACCTTCAGCCTGACAATTAATCACTTTAAATTTGTGGCTATAGTAAGTCAAGCATCTTAAAAAATATATAGTTTATACTAAATATCAAGCGGAAAAAACATCTGGTTGCACTGTTTTTGAGGCAAAATCACGTGCAGGTTAATTTACATAAAGCTAATTACAACATTTAGCGACCTCTAGTGGTAAAAAGATGCATTGTGATAAAAACAGCTATATGAAAAAAGTATGCCATCTATTTATACTTCAAATTAATTCATTTAATTAATAAATTCTCTGTCTAAACAATTATAAAAATCTATCTATCTATCTATCTATCATATTCTGTATTGTGAAGCACTTTGGATCAGTTGCAGTTGTGTTAAATGTGCTCTATAAAAATATAAACTTTGTTTCCAAAAAATAAATAAATGCCTCAAGCCTCCAGGATTCCATCATGACAAACCACAAATGATTAACTAATATAAATAATATTAATAAAAAGGCATCACAAAAATTCAAGGGAAAAACAAACTTTATTATCTCCTTTTTACAAAACATTTCAAAGTTTAATCTAACCTCAGCAGTAATTTGAATCTAATATAGACCTGCAAGCAGCAAATTGTCCAACATAAAATAATTACTCTATTAAATTTTTTTTCCCAAAACAGAAGCACAGACAGGTAGAGGGCTTTTTTTATTTATTTATTTTTTTTGCTGCTCTAGTACAATGAAAAACTGCATGATCAACAAAATGAATGCAGTGATTTTAGATGCACACAGTGAGAATTAATGCGTATTAAAACTATGAGTGCAAATTAACCACATGATTTGCATGAGAACAACATCATGTGAATATCATGAGGTCGGGCGGGGATGAAACATGAAAAAATACAAAAGCCGTTTGTAATGGCATACTGAGCTTTCCACCAAACAGTAAATCATTTTCCACACGTCACTGCAGTCCTATACGAACATTTATTTTTATTGCATTTGTGAAATAATAGTCATAACAATAGTCATAAAAAAAACAAAAGCCTCCCTTGGTGAAGCATTCTGCTACTGAGAAATGTCAAAGTTACGCATGCTGCTGTCTGAATATTAATATGCATCTGTACAGTGATCTAGAGCACAGCACGTTATGGACTAAACATAACATCAAATAAAACATTCCACACATGTATCACAAGACATAGCCTTGTGTAAACATACAATCTAACTTAATGTTTAACAGAGTCTAAGACACTGACACAAATATTACATTTTAAAGCAGTGCAAAACGTATGGTAAATGTGACGACAAGAAACTCAACGCTGAATCTAAAACACCAACAAAATGTCTTGAATAATTCCAGATAAATGAGCTACTTTAAAGCAACAGTATGACATCATTTCCGGCCATGTGCACGGATGGTTCAGCATGACCATGTGCATACCTTAACAAGTCCAATATTATACAAGTTCTGTGCTCATAATGGACATTAAATCATAAAATGTTAGATTTTGGTGTAAATTAATTGGGTGCATATCTGTGATTTGACTGCAGTGATACTGCTTAACAGATACCAAATAGAAATATAGAAATATATATATTTATAACTTCAATGCTTTGCAAATGCATGCTTTTGTACCAGATTTAATAAATAAGAATGTCTTTTTTTATGGAAGCTTGTTTCCACCTAGGAATAAAACACAAAAAGGTCATTGTGACTTTTATATCACAATTCAGACTTTTTTCTTGCAATGTAAACAAGATATAAACTCAGAATTCTGAGTTTAAATCTAACAATTCTGGCTTTTAATTAGAGAATTCTGAGTTTACAAAATTACATAACATATTTTTTTTTTCTTCTTGTAATTACAAGCTTATATCTCACAATTCAGACTTTTCTTCTCAGAACTGCAATTTATATCTCACAATTCTGTCTCGTAATTCTGAGGAAAAAATGTCCAGATGATAAGAAATAAACTAAAAACTGTGAGGGAAAAAAGTCCAAATTGTGAGATTGCAATTTTATCCTGTGGTGGAAACACACTTCCATAATTTTCTGTTATAAGACTGTGAAAAAAAAATAGTTTCTTCTAGTGCATGATTACATATTCTCATGTAAAAACCATGCAATTGGAAAATGGCAAGAAAGGTAAACTAGAGGTTGAATAATGAATCACGTTGAAGCAGTTACATTCAACTTTCAGCCTCAATACCACATTTTACACATTTAAATGTGGAGGATGAAATACATATTGATTGCTGACTGAAAAAGTTCCCATTTTGGATAAAATGGGAACTCAACATGACCTCAGCTTGGTCGCAATCTTCAGGAAAAATTGGGAAAACGTTCAGAGCTTAACCAGAGGGCTTCAGTACTGGAAATAAATTGCTTAACTATAGCAACACAACACTGACAGTTTTGCTGGGGTGAGAATTGAAGTGTGTAATTTCTGCGCAACTAGCGGCAACAAACAAAATTGCAAAAATAATGACTTCAATCATTTCCATGTCTGTATGGATGGAAGTCAAAGGATGAAATGCCTCGGTACACTGACTAAACAGGTTTTGTGTGGAAACAAAACCTGATCTTTAACATGCACGGCATGACATATTAATTTTAGAGGAAGGTAACTCATTTTTTGTAGCATCTCCAAATATACAAGCCACAGGAATTTCTCCACAGGTATTTACAATACAACAGATGGGGTTTACGGCACTACACATTCATTTTTAAGGTCTCCAGACTTGAAAAGCACTTCATATATATATACACACAACATTGAAACAATCCTGGATTATTTAATCCTACAAATGATTCATAAAATGTCTGTATTCACAAATCCCACTTCAAAAATTGCAGTTCAACTTAAATTCACATTTGTTTTTGCCTTTATAAACCTCGATTTGTTCCTCACATTTAATTTAAGATGAAATCAAATCCGATCATAGGCTTTTTTTTATGAACGAGGCCCCTAGTGGTTGAAAAAGTAAAATGTAAAGTAAAATGAGTGGCAAAAAGTAAATTTTGGACCCTTCATGAGAGTTTACCATACTCACAGAGAGAGCGTATGGTAGAGGAGCATGGGGTGGATTTCATTATCAGCACATCTGTATTCACATCCAAAGAAATAAAGCCACTGTATTTCTCATACTACTGCAAAAACACGATGCATATAAAAATATCCTATAAATAATTCTGCTGTATTATATTCAATTACTTAAACTTAGATTGTGGGCTGAATTGAAATGTCTCAGCATGCAGTAAAACTGCGAGCGCGGCTTATACATCCTCATATCGTTTGTTTTCACACTGATTTTCTTCTTCCTCTCAGTTCTGAAAGTGAATACAAGAAGCTAATAATGGATTCTCTGTGTTACTCTGCATGCCACAATGACATGCAAACAAATCGTACAGGTGTGGTGCAAACATTCCAACTCCATCAGTCGGTTTCATTATTCATGTATGAGATGCACTGTTGTAAGGTTCCCGGTGAGCAAAGCCCTGGAGCAAAGCACAGGACCGCTGCATTAAACTCAATCTGACCTAATGAAAGATTGGAAAGTGGAGGATTTCATTGGCTTTGCTGTACCACACCACAGAATACGGACCGGAAAACGTGAATTCACAGTGAAAGCGATAGCAAAACAGGACACCGGTGACATGAGGTACTAGAGAGTCAAAAAAAAGTAAAGTGTCTTTTAAAATAATTATAAAGTAGGACCATCGGGAGCACAACAAAGGCTGAGTAGGAGAAACATCAAACTGAGATTTGTAATATGTGCACATTATAGAATAGAAATGAGTCAGAATTACTGAAAATACAGGACAGCAAAAGTACCGAGAGAAAACAAACTAGGTGCAATGCCATTGGCTCAAGGGTCATGTGATGCAGTGAAGGATCATGGGTAGAAATTAGAGACCAGTGACCTCAGACGTCAGCCTAGAATAGTTAAGGGAAGAGGAAAAAGGGGAGGAGTAAGGAAAAGATAGAAAAAATAGATAACATAAAATAATTCTGAAAGCATTCGACACTTCTGTACAAGAATGATAGCTTTTTCCGCCTTGTTGCTCTCCGCGTCGAGTAATAAGCATGCATTACCGTCGATTCAGTTAAGCAGAAAACAATCAAGCTCCCATCAAATGCAAAAATAAAATCTCTTCCGCTTCTAAAGAAACACAGTTTCCAGCACCTCCTCGATTCTGACATGCGTTTGTACTTCGTTACAACATCTGCATCACATCACTAGCTCCTTGCCAACAGCATTGCCAGAAAATGCTATTGGATGCAATCTGCTTTTACATTTTTTTTTTTTTTATCTTTGCTGTCAAACTACAAGACTTATGCAGCAACCATACTGAACTAATCTAACAAATTTAAAATAATAAATAAATATATAACAAGATTCAAGCATTCGGCATGCTAAAATACCACACTAAAACACTGCATAACATGAACAAATCATACTACAGTTGTCCTGCTTTTCTTTTTTACCATTTTTTTTTTTTAAATGTCAGTAGTCTGCCTATATGAACGTAGCTACTGATGAAGTTAACCATGGGGTTTAAGGGAAAGGTTGGTGAGTTCTAAGGGAAGATTATATATATGTTTATTGGGAATCAGCTGCTGATAGCTTCAGATAATGAAAGCAGTTTGGGGCTTCAGGATGTAGTCATTGATGAGGGGTCATTCCACATGGCGGCCACGTCTCTGAACCTGCCATCAGAACCGTGGGAAAGCAATATGCATTAGTTTGGCCCCGGCCGCTACCCTGCAAGCCTCAACATCACACACAAGAAGAGATTTAAAGGGCCTGTGGCTAAATATCTTGGATTCCCCAAATACACTGCTCTGTACACAGTGTGAAGATCCTATGTGAGCTGCTTTTTAGAAACTGTTGAGTTAGAACATCATAAAAATGTTATGTTACTGCAGTTTTGGAAACACTTTTGTGAAACGTTGACGGGCTCACCTTGCGTTGATGAGGTACTGGGCAAGGCTGATGTTGGCGGGGGTTCCTGTAATGGTGATCTGGCGCTCTGATGACCCTTCCATGGCATTAGCTATTTTGATCTGCGCTCCAGACATCTGACGGATCTCGTTGATTTTGGTTCCCTGGCGCCCGATTATGCAGCCTATTAGCTGGGAAGAAAGCGGAAAGGTTCTTAAAGGACTGTCAAAAAGAAAACACAGTTTGTGTTACAGAAAGTATGCTTCTTTTTGTAGTATTTGCAATGGAATAGTTTTGTGACAGAAAACTAAACCATGTCAAAATGGAAATTTTTATAATTCATTTTTTTTATCATTTGGAAGCAGGGATTCAAAGAATTGAAGAATCAAATAAGATCCCACTGGATAAACTAGAGTCGGAAACTTGGAAGATGGAAATTTAAAACACTGAATCGAGTCACACTTACACTACTGTTCAAAAGTTAAAAAAAAGATACTTCTATTCAGCATGGTTGCATTAAATTGATCAAAAGGGATGGTAAAGACTTTTACATTTTTACAATCAATCAATGAATAAATGCTGTTCTTTTGAACTTTCTATTCATCCGAGAATCCTGAAAAAAATGTATCACAGTTTCCACAAAAATAGTAAGCAACACAACTGTTTTTGTCATTGATAATAATAAGAAACATTTCTAGACCAAATTAGAATGAATAGAATGATTTCTGAAGGAACATGTGACACTGAAGACTAGAGTAATGATGCTGAAAATTCAGCTTTTCCATCATAAAATGTTACAAATTATTACATTTAATTTAATAAAACGAATTGAAAAATATATTAAAATAGAAAAAAGTTTAGAAATAGAATATATTCTTTTAATAGAAAATATTAATAGGAAAAAAAACTCCTTTCAAAAAGAAAAAAAAAGTACCAATCTCAAAATTTTGAATGGTAGTGTAAATCACAAAATAAATTGACTTGTGGCTCCAAATTAGATACTTGTCAACAACAAAAACAAATAAAAAACAAAACAATACTTTGACTTCTGTTTGACTTTGACTTAGATTTGTTCTTAAGACCCTGACTTGGACTCTACATCAGACATTTATTCTCAAATAAACTGAAATTTATTTCTGTCATCAGTTAGGATTTTCTGACAAGGGACTGGGAGTCAAAACGGAGCATCAATCATTATACTCACATCATTGGGAATGGTGAGTTCATGAGTACTGGCCGGGGGACTGGCATCCAGACCTGGATCAGAGAGCAGAGGGAAGCTCGAGAGACAGCCTAGGATAAACAGCACTGCATACACACGCTGGAAAGTGTCAACACTCAGTGTGAGCTTTAGAAGACTGTGGCCTTAATGGACCAGGTGCAGAGTGCGAGGAACTCTTAGTCCTCCTGAGGCTTTTTTTATGGAGGCCTTTTTTCACCTTAAACTAACATAAATATCTCTAGCGGTTCTCACATCTTGTCTTCTGTCAAGGTAAACTTTCCTACAGTATTTCCTTGGTCTAACACAAACGTATATTAGATATGTTTGATATATGTGTGAATAGCAAAGCATGTTCTGCTCTCCACATGGCATTGGGTTTGCCCTTAGCTTGAATAAGGCAGTGTTTATCAAGATGAATACGTAATGAATGGCTTGATGCAAGATGTGTTGTGGTCTGTAAAATCAAAACACTGATATGCTTCTCTTATGCCAGTTTCTGAAGGGCAGGAAAGAACACATTTTGTGCCATTGGTAATTCCTTTCGAGCATAAAATTCTACACCATTAGTCCCCTGTACGTGACAATGTTGCATAAGCAGGAAAACCTCACTATCTTTTATCCCAGGTCTTAGCAGTACAGGATTAGGCGCTTCATAAAAAGTTTACCAAAAAATAAAAAAACTACAGAAAAAAAACAATGCAAGGTGAGTTTTTTTTAGAAGTTGAACCTGAAGTTCAAAAAAGTAGAAAATAAATAAGGAAAGAAATAATGGGTAGGAAGAATGAAACAATTAATGGATATATTGTTTAATAAAATAAATAAATAAACAACATAAAACTAGCAAATAATATAAAAAATGCTAACAAAACAAAAAAACTATTAAAATAAAACACTTAAAATAAATAAACACTAAAAAATAAAACAAACAAATAAAATCAAAAACCCTAACAAATAAAGTAAAACAAACAAACAAAAAAATTTAAAATAAAAATAAAAAGCACTGAAAAAATAAGAACTAACAAATAAAATAAAAAACAAATAAAGTATTTTACAAATAAAGTAAAATAAAACAAAACATTAACCAATAAAACACTAACAAATAAAATAAAAAAAACACTAACAAATAAGATAAAACACTTACAAATTATAAAAACACTAACAAATAATAAAATAAAATAAAATAAAATAAAATAAAATGCAGTAACATATTTTTTAAGAAACAACACCAAAAAACTAAATAAGTTTTAAAAAAAATCCACAAAGTGAAGAGCAACCACCACGGGCATGTCATGATGCTTGACATGGAACGAGAAGGAAAGAGAGAGAGAAAGACGAAAAGAGCGTCTCTACAGGTACAATGAGAAGGAAACTTCAAAAGGGCTCGTGGGTACGTACCAGGAAAAGCAGGGGTGGTCTGTCCAAGGGGGGTAAAGGGGGTTTGCTGCATAGCCAACTGGTGGAGCTTGGTCAACTGCTGAGGGTTTGGAGGGACAGTAGAGCTAAGAGGTTATTGTTATAAGACAGGTCACACCAAGAAATCAAGAAACTAAACTAGAACAAAGAGACAAAGAGGATAAGAAGCCATGACACACTGTGGTGGAAGAAGAGCAAAAGAGAAAGCTGAAGAGATAGAAACTTTAGTAGGACTTGGCCTGACTTGGTGGGTTAATCTTATCTGATCGCTAAATGATCTGTGATAAGCTCCATCTTGGGAAAAAATGTCAGATAAATGTAGCATTTTAAGATCAAAGGGGAGTGTAGTTTATGCTTTTTTGTAACCCGAGTGGCTCAAAAGAGTCTAAACGCATTAGAAGGTGGCGTTATTAACAAGGATAATTTGTCGCCTGAACCACGAGTGAACCGTTATCCATCAGAGATATGAACATGTAAGTGCGCGGGTAACCTTCAGAGGACACGCAAGCCTATTTTACAAACAGTCTTTGAACCACAGCAGACTTGCGCTGGGTGTTGTTGTGTACACCCTCTAAATCTGAGTTTAAAGCAGGTTGAAAGGGATGTCCAATCTTGACTTGAGTTATTGCAGTGTCAGCAGAAGCGTCTCTAAGCATCAGTCACTGCCAATCCTAAATGAAAAGAACTAACACAAGGCATCTCTCCTTCTCTCTGATAGATATTCATTCAGATCATCGGTGAGGAAAACACAGCTATCAGGATTAAAGAATCATCTGGATTGTGAGCGTGCATCGATTTTCCTTTTTTATTTGACCCGTCTCTTCTGTACAGCACAGTGGTCAACTTTTATTGTGTTCATTTGTGCTTTATAAATAAATAAATGAAATGAAAGGAATGTTTGATTAAGTCTGTGGTTCTCAAACTGTGTGATGCGTAATTTTGATGTTGTATTGGAATTTTCAAATGGTACTTTTATTTTCCCACATTTGCCTTATCTTATATACACTTCTGTTCAAAAGTTAGAGGTCAGAAAGATTTTTTTTATGTTTTTGAAATAAGTCTCTAACGCTGACCAAGGCTGCATTTATTTGATCAGTTAAATACATTAATACTGTGAAATATTATTACAATTTAAAATAACTATATTAATATATTTTATTCCTGCGATGCAAAACTGGATTTTCAGCAGCCATTACTCCAGTCTTCAGTATCATATGATCCTTTGAAATATGAATAATAATAATATGCTGATCTGCTGCTCAAGAAACATTTCTTATTATTATCAATGCTGAGGACTGTTTGCTGCTTAATATTTTTGCTTTATTTGCAATTATATATCTATTATAATATTAAAAATATCAATTTTGAACAACTGCATTAAGTACATGCTGAATAAAAGTATTAATTTCTTAAAATCTTACTGACTTTTGAAGTTTAGAGTACACTTTTAATGCAGCTTTGTGCATGTAAAACTGTAATGCAACAGGTAAGATGCAAACAGAAAATAGTTTGAAAATCCAAATTACAGCTACTTTTAATGTCAATATAACATCAAATCCAGTTGCCTCTGCAAACAAATGATGCTTTTTAGTCCTTCCACAGAACCGGCATTATGTTTCTCATAGAAATGTTGATTTGCTTAATGGTGAATTTGCTTAACACTAATCAAAGTGTGTGAGGGCGAGTCTTGTATGTAATTCTATGCGGACTATCTAGAAAATGACAAACACTGTCATTTCCTCCAACAGGCCAAGTCCTTAGAAGTTTGGTTTACATTTCGGAGGGCTGAGGTTCAGTACATTTTCAGATTGCAATGCGACCAAAATTACACATCAGAAACGTCATATTAATATTACTGCTTAATATTAATAGAGAGGTCCACGCTGAAAACTACAGAGCCATGCAGACTGCTGACGGTGCTAGGAGGGGAAGAGGGTGGATGGCTGGGGACTCACATCTGGGTGTGGAATGGCATATTGTCCCTGAATTGTGTAGGCCTGTGAAGACAGAGAGAGAAAAAAAGAAAAGAAATATCGAATCAACATTTTTGCAAGGCTGCAGGACCCATTAAACACACGAACTAACTGATTCATAACCGCTAAAGGATCTATTAATATTTTACAGGGACATTTGGTTTCAAAAGCTGAGTTTTCTTTCATATTTTATGTGAATATTTTTTATGACTAGTTATACAGTAATAATATTCGGCGCTTTAAATAATTGAGGCTTTTCTACACAAATTTACAACACTCCTGGCTTTTCAGATCTGTGCGTCTGTTCAAGTGCACACTATGCTTAAAATATATTTCATACTGTCTTCAAATAACAAACACGTTTCTTGGGTAGGTAAATATACCTGACAATAAAAGCAAATCTATTTCTGAACCATCTGAATAGATGAATATATAACATCCTTCACCAAGTTTTCTACAGTACGTCAAATTCTGAACCTCATCATATTTTCAAAAATAAGAGATAAAAGAACATCAATTTAAAGTGTCACACTGATAATGATGTTGTATATTTCATGTAAAAAGCCATGATGTGCTATCTCTATGGTCATGTTGGATGAAGTGTCTGTGAATGAGTTACGTTAAAAAAGATGCTGAGAGCTTTGTTAAAGGATATTATTATTCATCATCAAAGGAATGTTAGATTAGTGGAAAAAAATTACAAACACATTGTATTTTGTTTTGGTTAGCAAATGAGTGGGGATGACTTTGAAAACCATGTTTAATAGCATATCCCTTCAATATTTATAACTTGACATTTCAAGTTTTGTTGGAATCTCAAATGAATGCAAATCCAGGTCGACAAACTCTATCGAGAGTTTCTTACACACATCTTGTGATGTTACAAGCTTTGAAAATATGAAAAGGATATGATATTTGCTCTGAGAGGGAGGAGTTTATTTTGCAATAAGAGTGAACAACATCAATCGAGAATTAAAATGCACTCAAAGCAGCCAAAACGCAATCACTGGCATGTGAAAGGTGAGGTATGCAATTTTGTATTTTTCAGTGTTGAAATATAATCTTTCTATCCCAGTCTAATATGCAAAGACTTCTAAGGTTTCTGAAGGTTGATTTCCTGAAGAGAATCATTACATTTGAAACATTACTCTGTTTGTAAGTGCAGCAAAAGTGTAAGTGAAGAAAAATAAGAACATTAATATGCAATAATAATAGATTTGTCCTAATTTATTGACCTTCGCACAGAATTTTAAGGCAGTCAGTTGCATGAATTTGTGTAGAGTTTTTCACTCCTTATAAATATGCACCTCATTCCAAATGCTTTCATGCTTTATCTTTTTACAGTAACTTGTAATGGGGCAAAAAGTTTGGAATATGAAAATGAAATGAAATCGAAGCACTCGAGTTCAAAAATGTACAGAACTGCACACAAGTGAATTTAAAGTGAACTAAAGTATTCTAAAACCTCTTAGAATGCATTACCGCAGCAGAAAGACAAAAACATAAAAAATATGCATTCATTTCATTTCCATCTCTGCTTAAAATTCACTTTTTGGATAGCAGTAGAAGGCAGACTCTCCTTTATTGAGTCCCGATCTGAACTCTCATTGACAATCTAAAGCTCCTCTCTCTCTGCAGGCATTTCCCTGGTTAGGATGGTGTGACAGCATGCGAGTGAGAAGGTGAGAAAACCTGAGTGAACTAACAGGCAGTGGCTGGTGCTGCAGTAAAAGGCTGAGGTTGGCTGCGGACGCCGCCAGCGGGTCGGCTCTTACCTGGCCACCTGAAAAAATGACGGGGGTGGAGGCGGGCTTTGGGCGGTAGGGAATGGTGGCACCTTTCGGTGGGGACTAGGAGAGGGGAAGAGGTAAGAGGCAGAAACAGCATTAGACCAGGAGACAGGTGTAGACAGGTGTGCGTGGTGGAGTGTTTCTGTGGTAAAGTTGTACAAAAGTCAGGCAGGAGCACAGATGTTGTGAGACCCCAAGCGCTTGAAGATTTGTATTTTCTAGGCTGTGTGTTGTGAAGCTCAAATGGTTTACTCTACAAAAAAAAAAATCCATAAACCAGGAACAAAGTGGGCAAAAGTCAAGCTAAAATATCAAGGTGCTGCAGCAAAAAGTCAACAGAGAAGGGCCCCGAATGGAATACTTTCTGACTTTTTTTTTTACTTAAAACAATGAAGTACACCATTGTTTAAAAGCTGGAGGTTGGAAAGTATTTTTATTGTTTTTGAAAAATGTTCATATACTCACAAAGGCTGCATTTATCTGATCAAAAATACAGTAAAAACAGTAATATTGTGAAATATAATTATAATTTAAAATAACTGTTTTCTATTTTAATATATTTTAAAATGTAATTTATTCCTGTGATAGCAAAGCTGAATTTTCAGCATCAATACTCGAGTCTTCAGTGTCATATGATCCTCCAGAAATCTCCAGAAAAATTTTGAACTGGTGCTACAGAAACATTTATCATTGTTGAAAATGTTATCGTTTTTTTTTTTTTTGCAGTATTCTTAGAAATAGAAAGTTAAAAATTATAAATATAAAATTATAAAATAAAATAGAAATAGAATAGAAATAATAGAAAGTTAAAAAACATTTTGAAATAGAAACTTTCGTAACACTATAAATGTCTTTGCTGTCACTTTTGATAAATTTTTGGCAACCTTGAAAAATAAACATTAATTTTCTTAAAAAACAAAACAAAAACAAACTGACCCCAAACTTTTAAACAGTGCATATATTTTACAAGTCGTTTTTTAATTAGTTCTGAATGCAAAACAGTTTGCAATAAAGCAATAAAGGTGTCGAACAGTCATATGCCATGATTATATCACCTCATCACATTGCATGTTTAATTATTATTATTAATAATTGCATGTATATTTAAGTCTGAATCAAGTCCAATCAAATAAAGAGAAAGAGAATTTTGCGTTCATTTTCCACACTGGAAATGAAAAATGGCTTTGTTCAAAAGGGAACACCACCAACTGAATGCTAAGCAGTATACACTGTTTTATTTTGCAGTTGTATATGTTAAAATGTGTAGCTGATAATATTTCCAATTCATTTGTCACACTAGAAAGGTCCAATCAAGCAGATTGAATTTTGGGAACAATACTAAGTGAATTGTTTTGCACATTTGCAAATGTTAAAAAATAGTTCTAAAATTTCAGCTACACACAAAGGAAGAGACAGTACCTGTTGAAGTCCCAGGTGATCTGATTACTTTAGAAATATATCTGTGGCTGTACAAGCCAAGAATGAAAAGCATTCAATAACGCCCAATCAGAGCACAATTCACCTCAGCAGGAGATCAGCCCTACACGTCATTGGTGGATAAGAATAACATTTAAATCAATAAACTGAGAAAAGGTGTAAGCAAGCCAACGGAAGCTTTGTGTTTCTCATTAATCACAAGTAAAACAATGTAGTCTCTCTTTGGCAGGATGGCTGTAATGGAGTGTGGCTGTGTGTACGGTTGTGCATTCACCCCATTGTTATTGTCATAAAGAATGGATTTCACCCCCAAAAAAAAAAAAGAAAATTCATTCATCATTACTCAGCTTCGCAGAGTTCCAAAACAGACTTACTTTTTCTGTGAGACACAAAAGGAAAACGTTGTACTGTATGTACTGGTAGCTCTGTTCTGAGCAATTACAATGAATAGGGAATAAAACTTTTCAGCTTTAAAAAGGAGGCAAAGCCATCTTTTTTGTATCATAAAAATATTATAAACACGACTTATGCACCATATCCAAAACTTCTGAAGTCAATAAGTGAACTTGATCACACCTTATTCATTGAAAAGATCTAAATGTAAAGAATAATTTGTTCATTTTCTTCTATATTTTGATGTACATCAAAGAGAAACTTATTATCAAAAAATAAATAAACGTATGTGGTTCTATCCATCGGTTGTTGATTGGATGAAGACAGGTCACATGACTGCATAAAACACATGCATGGATGAATAGTTACAGTAAGATCAATAAAATGCATTTAGAAAACAGATACAAAATATTTAAGCATAATTTTCAGATTTATGTATTTGAATTGCATATAAATGTGCAATTTGTATGATTTTTTATCATACAGGTAAAAAACAGGTAAGATTTCTGTAATAGCATTAAACAACATGTGTTTTAAATACACAATAACTAGGTTTATCAATCATCAATAAATCTATTACTTTCAATCTCATACATTTTAACTAATTGAATATTGCTTGTTCCTCAGCTAGCCATATTTGAACCATGTTCATACTTTTTTAACTGAATACATGTAATTTTTACAGTGAACTAATTTATGCTAAGCAATTTAAATGAATGCATTCTGATTGAAATATGATTATTTAAATAAAATTACATACATAGTTAATAACTTAACCATGCCATGATTTATTTTGAGTGCAATCATTCTCTTACATGTTTTATTTATACATGACTGACGAATATGTATCACAAGATTATTAGTTTACTTATGTTAAAACTGTGTAATCCAAATAAATAGCCATTTTATATGCAATTCAAATCTTAAATTTAGGGCAACTTTAAATGATCATACAGCTTCAGAAGTTGAACCTTGATGGTGCTTTTTTTTCTTTTTTAACTTCTTGTGTTCAACAGAGTAATGAAAGTCATATGGGTTTAAAACAACATGACGAGGTGTAAACAATGAAATCTTTTTCATTCTTATCCTTTAAACAACACTGTACAATACTGTACCTCCAGCATGACCACACATATCTGTTTGACACACTGGATGATGGCTTCTGGGGTGCCGGAGATTGTCACTGCGCGCTCTGTGGAGTTAGGCAGCATGTCCCCTGCTACCTGCACCTGAGCTCCTGTGGACTGGATAGAAAAAGAAAAAGAAAAAGAAAAAACACCAGGCTATGATTCAGAGCATCCGCTGCTGATGATGGTGTGATCTGCTCTGAGACCGCACTGCTCTCAGGGGAACGCTGGGCCAAATGTTGCCATCTGCATGCAAGCATATGTTTCCGTTGAAGTCATTTAAAAGTGAAGAACGAAATCAGCAATGTCGTGATTTCCATTCAACATTTTTTTAGAAAAAGCAACTCTTGGTGGATAGAAAGACTGAGCAGGGACCTGGTTACACTGAGAACAGGATGTGTCTAGTGAGATGTTAATATATTTACATGATTTGTATATATTTGTGAGTTTTGTGGCTTTGCCAAGTTGCATAAGCCAGTAAAAGAGATCTGACAGTCCATGATCAGAAAATAAAACTCAGGGCAAAGTTTCATACCTCTCTCATCTCTTTGATTTTTGAGCCTCCTTTGCCGATGAGGGAGCCGCACTGACTGGCGGGCACCACGAGGCGCAAAGTGACAGGGGGCTTACTGGTGGCTGGGCTGTTGCTCATGGAGTTGATTATATCCTGAAGAAATGTCAGAAATTAATAACATAGATAATAGATAATACAACTTTAATGTGGCTGAAACAACAGAATATGGCTCATATAATAAGAATTCCGAGTTGAAATGACTGTTTAAAGTTTTTTGTGAAGCTGTGTGTGCACTGAAGCCAGACTAATATTTTAGTGTCTTTTGATTTGTGCCCATGAAGTTCCAAATAAAAGGAGAAAATAACAAAATTGGATGAAGTACTGTTCATTTCAAATGCATTTAATACATTGGATTATTTAAAAAATAAAAAGGTATTGCCAATTTCTTTTTATTATTAAGTATATTGAAAAAGTTTGGGGTCAGCAATTTTAATACTTTTATTCAACATGGATGCATTAAATTGATTGAAATGGATAGTAAGGACTTTTACATTATTACAAAAAATCTGTTAAAAATGCTGTTCTGCACAACAAATTAGGCAGCACAACTTTCTTTAACTTTGAAAAAGAAAAAGAAAAAGTTTCTGAAGCACCAAATCAGCACATTAGATTTATTTCTGAAGGATCATATGACAATGAAGACTGGAGTAATGATGTTGAAAATTCAGCATTGCATCACAGGAATAAATTACATTTTAAAATATATTAAAATACAAAGCAGTTATTTTAAATGGTATATTCATATATTGTATTTCATAATATTACTGTATTTTTGATCAAATAAATGTAGTATTGGTGAGCAGAAGAGACTTTCAAAATCATTAAAAAATTTTACCGACCCCAAACCTACAGTACCATTATCGTTAACATCCAAACATTTTGATCAGTTTTGTCAAAGTGGTTTATGTTAAGCGAGATTTTCATATACTGTATTCAGGACAGCACCTCTTCAAACTTGTACGCGATCATAGCGAAGGCCTTAAAGATGGCATCTGTGGGTCCAGTGATGGTGACGATCCTCTCAGGACAGTTTCCTTCTGAGATGTTGATCCGAGCGCCGCTCTGTAGGATGCCAATAGTCAAGTTAACCCTCATATTCTTGTTCTGCTTCGGGTCTGAGAGACTCCAAGCCCTTTTAACAGTGCAAAACCACACTTAAAGGTGCAATTTTAAACTACTTTCATCTATCCCATCTTTAAAAAGGGTAATAAGCACATTTTAAATGACTACTATTATTTTTACACAAACAACCCGGAGGTCAGTGTGATTAAAAAAAGTTAATTCTCAACAGAACAAGAGGATTTTGGTAAAAAGAATTAGCAAAAAGAAACATACCTCTTCACGCATCTTCTTCACAGTTTCCCCTTTCTGTAACAAAAAGAAGAGTGGAGAATTGGATTCAGTGCTTTTACACAAACAACCCGGAGGTCAGTGTGATTAAAAAAAGTTAATTCTCAACAGAACAAGTGGATTTTGGTAAAAAGAATTAGCAAAAAGAAACATACCTCTTCACGCATCTTCTTCACAGTTTCCCCTTTCTGTAACAAAAAGAAGAGTGGAGAATTGGATTCAGTGCTTAAAAAACACATATACACACATATATATGTGACCCTGGACCACAAAACCAGTCTCAAGTCGCTGGGGTAAGGCGATTTTCTCAATATTTAGATTTTTTTGCACCCTCAGATTCCAGATTTTCAAATAGTTGTATCTCGGCCAAATTTTATCCTATCCTAACAAACCATACATCAAGTGAAAGCTTATTTATTCTGCTTTCAGATTATGTATAAATCTCAATTTCGGAAAAATTTACCCTTATGACTGGTTTTGTGGTCCAGGGTCATATATAATATACTGAATATATATAATATACTCTATCTATCTGAATCTATATACTGTATATACTGTATGTATATATATATATATATATATATATATATATATATAGTCAGTATTTAGCATACCTTTCCAATGATGCTTCCAACTTCCTGCAAAAAAAATAAAAATAGAGAACCAATAAAATCATTGCAAACGTAAGCATTTTAAACATTCACAATTGTAAATGAACACATTTCCTCATGAAAATGGCTATATTTTATATTCATTCCTTGTTTACGGAGATTTAATGAGTCTAAAAGGTCACTGGTCCTGACAACCCTTGATTCACCTTGGCCTGAAACAGTGGGTCAGGAGAGGACAGATCCCTGAGGCACACAGCAGTGACATCACAAGCCCACCCCCATCCACTTCCCTCTGTATTGTACTGCTCTGCGGGCTCAACTTACCTTGCCATGCATGAGAAGCCGGATGGTCAGGGTCACATTCAGCCCACCCTCTGACTGGACTTTGTTGGGTTCCATACTAGGAGTGGAGGTGAAGCAGGAATATGGTCACGTGACAGGAAATCCCCAGGAGTAGGACGAGAATGATGGTACAGCAGCCAACCAGTCACCTGCACAGGGGGGATGGGATAATCACAGACAAGAGTCATGAAGAGCCCATAGACTTCCAAATGAGAAAACAAGATGGTCGCAGAATGTTTGGCTCTGCTCAGGAGCGAAAGCTCAGAATTAAAAGAATGCTCCTGGTTCAAAAATTCGCATTTGGGACATAATGTTGTTTGTCACAGAAAATATTTTTGACTTGTCCCAACTCATTTAAAATGAATACACTATTATTCAACGGTTTGTAGTCTGTAATTACTTGATGAAAAATACAGTAAAAACAATAATATTACAATATAAAATGACAGTTTTCTATTTTAATATCATTTAAAATGTAATCTATTCCTGTGAATTCCTGCAATTTATTCAGAAATCATTCTAATATATTGATTTTGTACTCAAGATTTTTTTTATTATTATTATTATTATTAATGTCAAAAATAGTTGTGCTGCTTAACATTTTTGTAGAAACTTTTAATATTTTTTTCAGGATTCTTAGATGAATAGAAAGTTCCAAAGAACAGCATTTATTTGAAGGAGAAATCTTTCTGTAACATAAATGTCTTCTTTACTGTCACTTTTGATCAATTCGATGCATTCTTGCAAAAAAAAGTATTAATTTCTTGTAAAAAATATATTGCTGACGCCAAACTTTTTATGTAAAATAAATAAATAAAATTTAACGTAAATAAAACACTTTGAAAAGAAAGCATACAGTGTTTTCCAGAGATTCTAAATGTCTAATTATTGTTCATTCCTGTAAAGATTGACTATAACTCACTAGTCTCATGTTAACATGTATTTTAAGTTTTGTGGCCTTACATTTTATGTACAGTGTGTGTTTTATTGCCTGGTGAATTTTCATTTAAATTACCTTACTGTCAGCATGATTGCTTTTTTTTCCTCTCAGTTCTCTGTGATAATCAACATTATGCTGTTAGTATATACTTATTGAATATGGAACATTCCTTTAACTCTACACGGCAACATAATTAATAGCCTTTTATATGCATAGTTTGAACACAAGAGGGAGCACTTTATAAGTAATCAAAGTCAACTTAATATTATATTCATTGCCAGGCAGTAACCTCAAAATAGTTTCATAATCTAACAGCTGCTGAGATCATTCGGCTTGTTGCACAGCTGAGCCAAATATTTGCCAGCGTAAGAAGATACATGTCTTACAAAAGCGACATCCCAACCAAACTGATCTCAGTTAAATCTTATAAATAATAAATTAATAAAAATAAATGCATTAGGAATCTAGACTTTACAGCATCAATGACCTGATGCTCAAAAAGGCTCTCACACACGATGACAATATTACAAGTAGGCAAAGATAGAATCTGCATAAAATTTACACAAATTAATACAATTCTACACATTTGGGTCCAAATTAATTCAAAGTGTTTACATAGTTATGATAAAGAGAGACCAAATTAAAACAACACACATAAAACCCAATTTTCAAATCATTTAATTTAAAATTTTCAATGAAATATAATGCTTTTTTTTTTTTAAAACTTAAAACGTATTATTGAGGATAATTTAGTTGTGCTTTCAGCCAGAAGCATCAAGTCCATTCAATTCTGCGTAAATCTGCAGATTTCTGTGGGTTTACCATAAACAAGGTCATATAAAACAACTTATTTAACATTCAGCTTAATGGAATCTGTATTTTCTGTCTCTCTGATCCCTCCGATGATTTCTCATGCTCAGCCGTTATAATGAGTATCTGTCTGCGCTCTGATGAGGGAGGGGAAATCCTAACTCCTCAGCACAGCTTCAGACCTGTCCCTTTTTCGGTGATTTACGCCGTCATGTGGGTCTGGGGATCAACAACGATTGAGAGATTGAAACATTAAGCCATTTCAGTACAGCTGCCAGCCCTTCATATGAAGCGCAGGATAAAGAGAGAGCAAAACGTGAATGATGGTGACCGTAATAAAACCCCGGTGAAAGAGAAATAGTGTACGCGCTCAAGGAAGAGATGTGCGGAGCAAAGTTTTAAGCACAAATTTGCAGGTTATGTGTGAGAGAGATGCATAGAGAAAGCAGAGGAAAGATCAGAAGAGATTCACATGGGTATATGAGATGAGCTGCCAGCTGTCCGCAAATCTCCTGCTTAGCAGAGATTGCATAAAAATTCTAATCTGAGCTAAGAGCACACAGAAGCAGCAAAACAAATGGACACAAGTGAACCGGCTTGTACTCCTACAAACAGGAGCGCTCCATTTTAACAAGCCCCAGTCCTGGGAAACCCTGAAAGAAAGAAAAGGAAAAAAAAAAAAAAGTGTTACTGAAAGCGAAAGTATTCTTGCAGATAATATAATACTAATGTAATAAAAAGCAACTTAGGTGTATTTAAAGTATTTAAAGAAAATAAACTTTCAAAAGTTTATGAAAACTTGCACATTGTCATAATGCACATGGTAATAACGTCAAATTTAAACTTTTACTTCAAAGTACATTTTAGATCATTGTTTTAATATTTTATACTGTTTTTATAAGTGCACTTACTGTGATGTATTGACTAACATACTAAAGCACAAGTCAAATTGATTATAATTTTAACTGTAGCATGTTATTTCATATTACATTTAAAGTTAGTATATTTTAAATCTACTAAACTGCAGCTTTCAAATATGTAAACAAATGTATTTAAATAAATGTTATATAAGTTTCTTCTGAATTGGCATTAAAGTAGTATTATTTTAGTATCATGCTGTTATAGTTTTTATTAATATATATTTTTTTTTCTGTTTTAGTTAATTTTAGTTTTAATTTTAGTTAAAGTTTCACTAATTATGTTGTGTTTGTTTTTTACATTTTTACTAAATAGTTTTTTAACTATTTTAAAATAGTTTTTTAATAATTTATTTCTATTACAGTTTTAGTTTTAGCTATTACAGTACATCAAGTTAAACTAAATGAAAATGAGTCCTTGGCAACTATCTGAAATAAAATACATTTAAGTTAAGTATATATTTATTTTTTATTCATTTTTTATAGCTAGTTTCCAAGGACTCCAGCTATTTTTTTTTCAAGTGATTTCAAGTAACTACTTTTTTTGTTGTTTTAGTTTTAGTTAACTATAATAACCCTTCATATTTTAGTTTACCATAAATGACTGTCAGTACCATATTTCAAAGGAAATATAACTTATGAAATTACATATAAAAACATACTTAAGTCCTACGTAGGTGGGTCACTCTTAAGTTCAACTAACTGTATTTGATATAAATTTAACCAACAATACATTTTCATTTAATTGCATTTACATGCAACTGAATCTCCTAAAACATTACATTCAGTTCACATTTAAGTATATTCTTTAAAATTCTTTATTTCTGTAATAAGTACTCTTTTTTCAAAAGTATGCTCATAGTTCTTTTTCACAAGAGAAATCAAAAGAACTCTGAAGATGGTCTAATTCAGAGAACTGCTGTAGCAATTCACTCCAAAAATAATGAAAAAAAGAGAGAGAGAGAGAGCGAAAGACAGACAATATAATTACAAAGAAAATTGGGTTGCATACAACACTTGATGCTTTATTATTCTTCTAAGTTTTCATTGAAGAAATATCTTCTGTCATGGTGTGTAGACTCTCTCAAACACACCGCAATGTTTTGGAAGCGACAACCATATTTAAATGCTGGAGTAAATCCTTTTAATTACAATAAGAAAGATTGCACTGTATAAATGACATTGGAAGTATCTGATTTTTTTGCGAGTGAATTTGTTGCTGGATGTAGATATCATTGTGTGTAAGGAACAGGATTAAGAGGAGTGACAACTGTATTTATCTGCATGGTGACGGAGAGCACTTCTCCTCATGACTCACTTAATGTAGTTCCTCATCCACCTCAGATGACTTAAATCTCAAATGCCTTCAAGTTCAACCCTGCATGAAATCTTATCTAATTAAATCAGCCTGTAAGACGACAAACAACACAGAGGCTGTGGGAGAAGCGCTAACACCTTGTGGCAACTTTACGAATACACCAAATTTGGATCGAGGAAAGGTAATCTTATCGTTTATGTGATGCTAATGCTCCATATCTGGTGCTTCAATGAAAAGCTGCATGAATAACATGAATATTATTACTTAGATGATCATGTTTAGTGAACCGTTAAGAATGCCCGAAGGACTACATTTTTAAAGTGCTCCTTTCTTTGTATATTTTGAGGTGACATAAAAGAGTGTTTCCTTAGGCACGTTTACATCCCAGGGGTTGATTTAAATACACAAATATTATTTTTGTCATATGAAGGTCACATTTAAAATGGTCTAGGAAACATTTTTGCCATTCCTTTATCATTCATTAAAATAATAAAATGATTAAATATTGAAATATTAAAAAAGAAAATATTCAGAATTTGAATTTTATAACTGCGATAATCCAAAAAGAATGTGAAACAAACATCGAAACAACTTCAATTTCAATGATTTATATACATTTGTGCACAAACTTTGACAGGCCATCTTTACCATCGATATTGCATGCTTGATATTAAAGGGGTCATATGATGTTGCTAAAAAGAAAATTATTTGGTGTATTTGGTGTAATGAAATGTGTTTATGCGGTTTAAGGTTCAAAAAACTGGATTCGACGAACGAGCGTCCGGCGGGCTTGCAGCAACCACATGTGATGACCCTAGGCTGGACTCCGCTTCGTCCACGGTGAAAGCAGATCCAGCGATCCACAGTGCAAAGTTGATGTATTTCCTCAGCGACCAGAACGAATCAGCTCCAGGCATGATGAAGCGGATATCGTCCTCTTTTGTTAACTTTTATAAAGAATATCTCTTTGGATTTGAGACTTTAGTCTTTGCAACTTTACAGATCTTCTTTATGCACCAAGAGCTTGTAACACTTCAAAGAGAAAGGGAAAATTTAAATTGCATCATATGACCCCTTCAAATATGAAACATTATATGTCTTTAAAAAAAACTAAATATAACCAGCACAAACTTATCATCTGTAATTTTGTTTGCAGAAATTGTG